TCTATTTTAAGTGCTTTATCGGGTTGATCTTTAAAAGTTTCCCAAATGTTGAAATTAAACATATCTATTCTGTTTTTCTCTTGCCTATTCTTGGATACTCATTGTTGGGGCTTTAGAAGTTGTGGCCATCTTTCTGAGAATAAAAAGCTAGAGAAGAAAGCCATTGAACTCAGAGCAGTTGTGCACACTTGCACAAGAGCTTCACAAGGTGAAACCATAGATGCCGTGGGTTTTTGGGGTGGGGCTCTCCAACATAGCCTTCTCTGAGTGTCTACAGGTTGCTGGGAGAGGGAGATCCATTTTCCTCAGTGGTGTAGCCACCAGTAAGGTGCCATGCTCCTGAGAATAACCCTAAAGAAATTTATTGCCTCCTCCCACCTCCCATGAAAGTAGGAGAGGACTTGCTTAAAGAGGAATGGGATCAGTGATTCTTGGGAGTAGGACAAGAGAGGATAGTATGAGTGTGACCAAAATACATACATGTAGAAAATGGTATGCTATAATTCAGTATGTGTAATTAATATATACTAATAAATATTTTTGAAAGAGTCTGTGTCAGTTTCACAGACCTCTAATGTCAAATTTGTATTCCTAGAGTTTCTTGTAAAGTTATTATTTGGTTTTATTTTTGTTTTCAAGTTCCTCTTACCTGTTTATTTTTTTAGGTGTTTTGCCTGCATGTATGTCTGTATATCAATGTATGTGTCTGGTACCCATGGAGGCCAGAAGAACTGGTCCCCTGGAAGTAGTTATAGATGGTTGTGAGCTACCATGTGGGTACTGGGAATTGAACCCAGGTCTTCTGAAAGAGTAGCTGGTGCTCTTAATACTAAGCCATCTCCCCAACTCTTTACATGTGCATACGCGCGCGCGCGCGCACACACACACACACACACACACACCCACCCACCCTATCTCTATATGGGTATTTGTATGTGAATTGCTAGTGCCCACGGAGGACTGAGGCATGGGATCCCTGCTGGAGCTGGAGTAAGAGGTGGTTGTGAACCAACTGATATGGCTGCTGGGATCCAAACTCAAATCCTCTGAAAGAGTAGTTTGTGCTGTTAATCCCTGAACCATCTCTCTCTCTCTCCATCCCCAAAACAGGTCTCTTGTATCCATGGCTGGCCTCGAGCTCACGTTGGAGCTGATGTGTCCTTCAGTTTATGGTTCTCCTTTCTCTGCCTTCTGCTGGCTAGGATTACAGGATGAGGATTTGTCTTTAGGCTTGGTTTATGTGTTAATGGCAAGCATTTTGTCTGCTGAGCTATCCTCAGCCCTGATTTGGATATCTTTGAAGGGTGCTTAGTCTGTTTCTTTACAGTTGTCTGATGCTTTTTCTTCTTTAAAGATTTATTTTTATTTTATGTGTATTTTGCTTTCATGTATGTGTGTTTACCACATGTGTTCCTGATGTCAGCACAAGCCAGAAGAGAGTTTTGGATCCCCTAGAGGAATTAGAGTTACAGATGGTTCTGAGCTGTATCATGGGTGCTGGGAACAGAAGCTCAGTCCTGCAAGAGCATTCAGTGCTCTTAACTGCTGGGCCACCTTCCAGTCACCCCTTCTCCCCCCTTTTTGAGACAGGGTTTTACTATGTAGACCTTGCTGATCTGGAACTCATTTTGTAGATAAGGTTACCTTATACCAATCTTTGTCTCTGACTCTGTAGTGCTAGAATTACAAGTGTAATTAATTCATCTAGTTAATTCATTATTAGATTAGGGGAAAATGCCACAGAAATTACAGAAGTCAGTGGTCTGTTCGTTGCATTGTATCAGAAGGCATATGATAGCAGTATTATATATTTTTTAAATATTTATTTATTATGTATACAACATTCTTTCTGTGTGTATGCCTGCAGGCCAGAAGAGAGCACCAGACCCCACTACAGATGGTTGTGAGCCAACATGTGGTTGCTGGGAATTGAACTCAGGACCTTGGAAGAGCAGGCAATGCTCTTATCCACTGAGCCATCTCTCCAGCCCCCAGCAGTATTATATTTTACTCATCACTCTGGTGATGCTATTACTGGAACATTGTTGCTGGATTTATAACTGGCCATTCTGGTGGTGGTTTTGTTTTGGGAGAATTATTAGCTCTAACACTAGTGCCCTTTTGAAGTTGCCTTTTTTCTTCTTCCTCTACTTTTAGACACTAACTATCAGAATCTTAATATACAGCCCATACTCAAGTTTATGTGCCAACGTTCAGGGGAGATGGATTTAGAACAATTACTAGATGGAGTATTTAAACCATCAGTGTAATGCCAGGTGTGGTGCATGGCTGTAACCCCAACACTTGGCAGAGTGATTAAGGTTCTTCAGCCTTTGCTACATATTGAGTCATTAGCGACCAGCTGGGCCTTGAACTGGTGGCAGTCTTGCTTCCTCCCTCCTCCAGAGAGCAAGATTGTAGGCGTGCACTACCAACCTTAGCTTCTCTAATGATTTTGAATTGCTTGAAACTCTGCTTGAAAATAACATTTGCAAAACTTTAGACTATGCTAAATGATTTATTTTTTAAAAAATATTTATTTTTACTTTATATGTATTGGTGTTTTGCCTGCATGTATGTCTGTGTGAGGGTATTGGATCTCCTGGAATTGTAGTTACAGACAGTTGTAAGCTGCTGTATGGGTACTGGGAATTGAACCCCTGTCCTCTAAAAGAGCAACTCATGCTCTTAACCGCTGAACTATCTTTCCAGTCCAACTCTTTAATTTCTTGATGCTATAGCTAGAAACATAGTTAGGTGTTTATATATGTTCCTTCCTTGTGATTGTGCTGAAATAAACCAGAGTAGCAGTGATAGGTACCTCAGGCATCATTTGTGGCCCAGTTCAGTCCTTCGTGGTAACAGTACTCAGTACAGCTTGGGGAGGGTGTGCTTTTCCAGAAATCTCAGATTACTAAATCTCAATTTCAGCAACTTGTTTGCCTTCCTTCTTTCCTTCCTTCATTTATTTATCTATTTATTTATTTACTTATTTGTTGAAAGGTCTGCCTAGACATAAAATTTAGGGTCTGGCATTTGCTAGGTAACTACTCTATTGTTGGGCTATACATATCCAGCCCTCCTTTACTGATGAAAAAATTTGTAAATTATTTTTCTGTATGTGATTGTTTTGTCTGCATGTATGCCTGTTCACCATGTGCATACAGTACCCTGGAGTCCAGAAGGAAGTGTCAGATCCCCTGGGCCTGGAGTTACAGATGGTTGTGAGCTGCCATGTGGGTGCTGGGAACCTAACCCTAGGTCCTCTAGAACAGCAACCAGTGAGTGCTCTTAACTCTTAACCACCTAGCCATCTCCAGCCCTGGTAGGTTTGTTTGTTTACTTTTTTTTTTAACTCTTCTTGCCTCCACCTCCCAAGTGCAGGGATTATAGTCATGTACAACTATGTATGGTGTGCTGGAGATTGAACACAGGATATGTGTGGTAGACATGTATTCAACCAACTGAACTATCATGCCCCCAGTTCTGATTTATTTGTTTAGAAAATTTTATTTCCTTCTGTGACCTCTGTTTTGTTGATGACTAACAGTTTGGATTTATCTTTTTAATTCTTTTGCTCAGATACGTTTAGGAATTAAGTATACTATGCTAATTTGATAAAACAAAAAAGGTGTTTAAATAATACCACTCTGCAAGGAGAGATAGGTCACAATTTATCAGTAGTCACAAAGGCAATTGTATTTAAAGTTGTGTGTCTAGCTTACATTGAAATTATACTTTCTATAATAAAAATTTTAATAGATTAGTAGATATTCATTTTTGAAATTAAACCACAAAGCTAAAAATTAGTTGTACCTTCTAAAAATATGTATGTAAGGTCTTGATTGGGAGACTCCTTTTAAAAGTGCTCAGATTATGGAAGTAGTCAGAATTGTGAAGAACTGAGAGGTTCCTTTGGGAGACAGTGGACAGATACTCCGTTGTCTTCAGGTCATTGAAGACATGTTTTAGTGATGGTTTTTAAGTTAGGAGTAGCGGTGGTGTTACTGGAATCAGAATCAGAGCCTGTGCCCTGGATAGCTCCAACAAACCAGGTTTAACTGCTCATCTTTGGCAAGCCAATTAAAAGAGCCAAATTAATAGCAGGAAACAGAAAGGGGGACATTTATTCAATGCAATCACATTGGGAAGAGGTATTGAGATGCAGGAACACCTTAAGATGCCTGTGCACCATGTGATAACAATGCCCTGAGAGGCCAGAAGAGGGCATCAGATCTCCTGGAATTGAATGGAGTAGAGATGGTTAAAAGCATCCTGGGAGTGTTGGGAATCAAACCTGGATCCTCTGCCTAGGAAGCCAGGGCTCTTTATCTTTGAGCAATCTTTCTAGCCCCCATGCTTTTCTGTTTTTTAAAAAGAGGGGATGTTAGACTTGGATTCTAGGAAAGGGTCATAGAAATTATCTCACTGGAGGATCGCTCTGAACAGTGAGTAGTTTGGTCCTTGAATTTGAGGGAGAGACTTTTGCTGTTGTTGAAAGAGGACCTCAAGTTTCCAAGCCAGCACTATTATGTTATGTAGCTGAGTCTGGCCTTAAAGTCAAGATTTTCCTGTTTGCACCTCTCAAAAGCTTGCTGAAATCACAGGCATGGGCCACTGAGCCAGGAGAGACAATTTTACTGGCTGGAGCATAACCTTCCCTAGTCTCCTAGGGTAGAGGACTGGGATTTAATTAGCAGAAATTTCCTCAGCCCTCTCTCTCTCAGAATAGGAACCACGTGTTTTCCTTGGAAGAGGAAGTTCACTCCTGAGAGATCGATCTTGGGTGGCACTGCCTCCTTACTTGACTGGGCAATTCACACGTTCAGCTATGCATCAAAGGGCTGCTGGTGGATCTAGTTTTGGCTTCTGCTAAGCCACACACAGTCCTTTTCAGGAGCTGTAGTCTTCATAACAAGCTGTTATTAGCTCTGTTTTCTTGCAGAACTTAACAGTACAACATACTGTTTATTAATACGATTTTCTTTCTGTTTTTGCAGTGATTATTTATTCAAGTTACTTCTGATTGGCGATTCTGGAGTTGGAAAGTCTTGCCTCCTCCTTAGGTTTGCAGTAAGTTGAAATTAAAATACTTTTTACAATTAATGGTGCACTTAACTGTACAATTAGTGCATGCTTTCTAGTTAGACAAAAATCAAACTGTTTTATGTCTGTTGACTTACTCTTTCAGAATTTGTACATCTAAGAGCTCCCAAACCCTGCCCTCTGTAGTATCTTGGACTGTTAAATAAGTGTTGTAACTGTTGTTCTTAAAGGAAATTCATGGGAAAGCTGGGTGTGGTAGTGCATGCCTGTCATCTCTCCACTTGGGAGGTGAATACTTTGGGCTTGAAGTCAGTCAGTCCAAAAAATACGTAAGAAGAGAGAGACAGACATGGGTGGGGGGGGACGGGACAACAAAGCCAAGAAAGAAATTCAGTGAAGCAGTGAAGTGTGATGATAAAATTAGCGTCTAATGCTCATTGTAGAATTCTGATTGATTCCAATGGAGGTGGACAGATAATGTGGGATATTTGGCCTTAGTGACAGTGACATGGGAAGAAATCTTCAAGCAACATTTTAATAAAGAGAAGCATCACCAGCCGCAGAGTACATGCATGGTGTCATATGTACTGACGGTCATGTGCATTCAGTAACTCAGATTAAGCTTTACAACCATAGTAACCTAGTTCTCTAGCTTTTTTTTTACTTTAATTGAAATTTGAAAAAGATCATTATATTTTTCTCATTTCATAAGCCACTTGGCTAGTGGCCACCACATTGGCTAGCAGTTTATGTCACAGAAAAGTTGAGTTTGTCATGCTGCTCTTAGGTTCCTACACCAAGGTGTCCGTCCTGGTTGTCGGAGAACTTCCCAGGTGTTGCTTTGCAGTTCAGGGATGCTTAGTCTCCGTTCCTGTTTTTCCATGAGAGCTTCTTTTGAAACATTTACTTGTTTTTATGTGTTTGTATACACGGGGCAGCTGTGCACGTGAGCACACTAGCAGGTGTGAAGGTCAGACAACAGAGTGCATGACTTGCCCTTTCACCTGTGGGTCCCAGGTGAAAGGCTTGGGGCAGGCACTTTTATTCTCTGATCTGTCGTAAGAGCCCTCATGAAGTCATGTTCTTTCTTTTTCTTTTTTTTGGGGGGGGGTGTGGTGGGGAAGGGGGCTTTTCAAGACAGGGTTTCTCTGTAAAGCTCTGGCTGTCCTGGAACTCACTCTGTAGACTAGACTGGTCTCAAACTCACAGAGATCCACCTGCCTCTGCCTCCGAATGCTGGGATTAAAGGTGTGTGCCACCACTGCCTATTGAGTTCTTTCAAGATAGAGCCTCACTATGTGTCCATGGCTGGCCATTAATTCCCTAGATCAGGATGGCCTCAAATTTTTAGTGATCTTTCTGCCTCAGCCTCCCAAGTACTAAGATTACTGGCATGTACCAAAAAAGAGAAACATTGTGTTAATAAATTGACAAACAACATGATGATAAGGACATGATCATGCATTGTTATAATGACCCCCCCAAATGGAAACTACCCAATTCTTTCATAAACTATATCAATGGGATTATATTCAGCTGCAAAAAATGTGGTTGAAAAAACAAAAACAATAATGAAGTAGGGCTGGTGAAATGAATCAGTAGATCAAAATGACCTGAGTTTGATCCCCAGGACCAACATGGTGGAAGGAGGAAGCTAACTGCCAAGGTTGTCCTAACACCTCTACATGTACATGCTGTGCACACATCCACACACATACATACACTAAAGAATTTTTTTTTAAAGACAAGGTCTCACTATGTACTCTTTGAACTTACTGTTGTAGACCAGGCTGGCCTCGAACCACAGGGATTCACCTGCCTCTGCCTTGAAGGAGGGATTCTTATGTGTATTGTATTTCAATTAAAAACTTCCAGGATATAAATTAGATTTTGGAATCCATCCCTAAGAGGAGAATGAAATGAGCATTGTTTGTTGGTCAGTGGATTGGGTATTTAAGGAGCAAGAGTTTTACTGATAAAACTCAGGTATCTGGTTGGGTGAGCTCTGACAGTTACAAAATCTTCCTGACATATGCAAAATATTTACCAAGAGATGTATAAAAAACAGTAAAGAACGCTTGAAAAATATTTCAAGGAAAAAAGAAACTTTTTTGTTTTAGAACACAAAGCAAGATGAAATCAGATGTTAAAAACTTTGTTTATAAGCTTTGACTATAATGAAAGTGAATTTAAAAAATTTTTTCTCTGTTGATCATTGATTTTATTAACTCTTCCCCTTCAGGATGATACATACACGGAAAGCTATATCAGCACAATTGGTGTGGATTTCAAGATACGAACTATAGAGTTAGACGGGAAAACAATCAAACTTCAGATAGTAAGTGGTCTTGGAAATTGTTTTGGTAAATGTATGGTGTATTTATATATATTTACTATTCTAACAAAGTTGAATATAAAGGTTAAGAGCCATGCATTGATGATAGTTTTTAGACCAAAAGGCATGTCCTAGGTTCACTTTTCTCATTGAAATGCCTTCCTTATTTATTTTTATGTGTATTGATATTTTGCCTGAGTATGTGTCTGTGTGAGGTTGTCAGATCTCCTAGAACTGGAGTTACAGACAGTTGTGAGCTGCCATGTGGGTCTGGGAATTGAACCCAGGTCCTCTGGAAGAGGGAAGAGCAGCCAGTGCTCTTAACCACTGAGCCGTCTCTCCAGCCCCTCCTTGTTTGTCACCTGTGTCGAGGATTGAACCCAAGGTCTATAAGTCTGCACTGTCAGCATGGAGTTAACATCCCAGGTCCTCCATGTTAAAATTCTACTTGTAAAGCAGAGATGCTCATATTGAGTCAGCCTTAGGACTGATCTCCTTCTCCGGTGGAAGGCAGGAGTTTTGAGTTTTTCTTGCCTCACAGTGGATATTTACTTGGCATCTTCTCTATGTCTTTTACTGTGCTAAGTGTTTTGGCAAGTTAGAAGGAATCTACGAGAGGCTCTTCGTACATTCATTAAATAAAGACAACTATTAGTTCTCTGGGTGTTTCTACTTTAAGATCATATATTCCAACTCTGTGGAAACAGAATTTTATTGGAAGGAAACTTGGTTTTTCTAATATTCTTGTTTTACTCTCAGAAAATGGATGCTGAGAGAAAGATTTGCCTAAAGTTACTGGCAAAACCAAGTGACATATAGCTCTCCATCTTCAACAGGTGCCTTTGTGTTATCCTAACTACCTTATCCATCTTTTACCTCTTTAGCATGGGTTTGTGTACTGCCAGCTTGTCTGTGATCTTAAAAAAAATATCATGGGGCCGGGCGATGGTGGCGCACGCCTTTAATCCCAGCACTCGGGAGGCAGAGGCAGGTGGATCTCTGTGAGTTCGAGACCAGCCTGGTCTACAGAGCTAGTTCCAGGACAGGCTCCAAAGCCACAGAGAAACCCTGTCTCGAAAAACCAAAAAAAAAAAAAAAAAAAAAAAAAAAAATATCATGGGGTCAGCAGGATAGCTCAGCAAGTAAAGGTGCTTAATGTCAGTCAAGCCTGATGACCTAAGTTTGATCCCCAGGGCCTATGTGGTGGTAGGAGAGAACCAACTCCTGCAAGTTGTCCTCTGACCTCCATGTGTGTGCCATGGCAGGGTGTCCTCTGTGAATATCAGTGTCTGTCTGTCTGTCTGTCTGTCTCTCTCTCTCTCTCTCTCTCACACACACACACACACACACACACACACACACACACACACACACACGGTGGGGGGGCGGGGAGAAAGTAAGTAAATAGTTTTTAAGTTGGGTTTTAGTTTTTAAAAATCAGTATGTTGTAGAATGGACTTATTTAGTATGCAGTAACACTGAAGATTAGTCTTTGTACTCTTCCCTCCCTCCCTCCCCATTTTTGAGGCATGATTACTCTGTGTAGTCCTGGCTGTTCTGAAAAAGTTGCTCTGTAGACCAGGCTGGCCTTGAACTCAAAGATCTGTCTGCCTGTCTTTGCCTCCCAGTGCTGGGGTTACAGGTGTGAGCCTAGTCTTTTATGCTGACTTAGAATAATAACAAGTTTGCTGAGCCCCAGCCCCAGCACTGTTTCCTGGCTTACTAGTTTACAAGGTAGTTTTGAGGATCACGTGACGCTTGCTGTGTATTTACTTTTGTGACCTTGGAGAAGGCATATCAGTGGGTTTTGAGACTGCCCTATGAAGGCGAGAAGTAAACACTATTATGAAAAGAGCCACTCCAGCCTGCCACCTGGGTACCAGTTGCATAGGTGGTGATTATTCTCTACAGGGTTTCAATACTTGAAACATTTTAATTTTGTCACTTCCTTTGTCTGAAAAGGATCTTGCAGATTGCTCTCTGTTGGCCTTTTATCTTCAATAGGAATTTTCTTCCCATATCTGATGCTGTTATGTATATTTGGGGAATTCACCAATTTCTAAAGCAGCTGCTTCCATTTATTTGGGGCTCTAGTTATCTTTTGTTTGTTTGTTTTTGTTTTTTGAGACAGGGTTTATCTAGACCTGACTGTTCTGGAACTTGCCTTGAACTCACAAAGATCCGCCTTGTTTCTGCTTCCTGAGTGCTGGAATTAAATCTGGCCTAGCTATCCATTCTTTATATCGAGCTGGAGCCAGTGTGCCTTCATGTCTATGGACTTCCTCTGCATTTGACACTGCAGATCAGGCTAACTTCTGTTGGCATCTGCTCTTCAGACTGATGCCATCACACCATCTTCTCGCTCAGTTGATCATTTCTTTTTGGAATTGTTTTTAGATCCATTTGAATTTGGGTCAGTCTTGCATTTTAAAGTGCCTTTTCTAATTTCTTAAAAATTTTCACCCTTTTGGTGTGGGGAAACAGCTCAATGCAGTGATTAAGAGGCAGGGAACTCAATTCCCAGATCCCATGCTGCACAACAGCACTCATTTCAGCCCCATGAGGTTCAATGCCACATTCTTGCCTATGTAGCCAACAGGCATGCATGTAGTGCACAGGCAAACAGTAGTGTATGCAGGCAAAACACTCACATAAAATGAAATTTCTCTCTCGGACTTGAGGGACTGGTGCTTATTGTTAACCCACTGCAGGATACAAAAGCAAAGCAATGTAAAGGATACGTATGGTCTGGGGAGATGTTCAGTAGATAAAGTACTTGTAAATCTGAGAACCAGAACTCACCTAGCAAAATGCCATCTAGGCACAGGGACTCACCTCTAATTATAGTCCATGGAAGGCAGAGACGGTGGATCCCTGGAGCTCAGTTATTAGTCGTATCAGTGAGCTCTGAGTTCAGTTGGGAGATCTTGCCTGCTTCAATGAATAAGGTGGAGAGTAATCCAGGAAGACTTTACTTCAGCCTCAGATCTCCACATGCACACACCATACACACACCCTTAAAGGGTGCACACATGTGTGTTTATGAGTGACACAGAGAGACTTCTGTGAATGGATGTTTTACAATTTTAAATGCAAAATTGTGCCATTACATTTCAACTTGCTAGACTTCATTTTCCCTTCCAAGTGTTTTTCCCTTTCACTTTTTATATTTAGTGGCGATGGCCAGGTATTCTTCAAAATTAGTGGTTATACCATTGAGCAAGAGGGGCACGTCAATAGAGTCATGCCAGAAGATCCAGGTGATACCAAGTTCCTTAGTTTTGACAGTGATCCTCAAAGTCTGGAGTTCTCAGTCTCAGTTTGGACCAAAAAGAAAGGAATGAAGCCAGCATTGGTTCTGTTTTTAAGATAAGCAGCTGCTAAACCTTATATATTATTTGCTTTCTTTTTCTTTTCTTTTTTTTCAAGACTGGATTTCTCTGTGCAGCCCTGACTGTCCTACTGTCCTAAAACTCTTTGTAGATCAGGCTGGCCTTGAATTCAGCAATCTGCCAGCCTCTGTCTTTGACTGCTGGGGTTAAAGATATATACTTAACCACCACACCTAGCTGCTTTCTTTTTCATCTGGAAGTGTGCTAATGTTACAGACTTTGGGCTGTACTGGAGACAGAGCTTACTATGTAGCCTTGGCTGGCTTTGAGCATGTTGTAATCCTCCTGCTTCCTTATTGCTGTTGGGACTGCAGGCATGCACCACCATGCCCAGTTTTACAAAAAAAAATTTTATATGCATCTGCATATTATTATCTATTAAACCATTGTCATATTTAAAAGAATTAATATTAATGCCTTACCTAGTCTCACATTTCTGAGAGTTAAAGAACTTTGCTGGGATTGAATCTTACAGTGCAAGGCATTCGACTACCATTGAGCTGTGTACACAGCCCTACCATTATCTTTTAGTGGAGTGATTGAGTCATCTAGTTAGACAAACTTTTCTTAACAAGAGGTCATTGGGGACTAAGAGGTGACTCGGTGACTGCTCTTTGAGAGAACCCTAATTTAATTCCCAGCACCCACATGATGACTCAGAAATGTTGAACTCGAGTTCTAGGGCATCTAGCATCCTTTTCTGGCGTTCAAGGGTACTGCACATATGGTACACAGACACATGTGCAGGCAAAACATTCATACACATAAAATGGAGTGTGTGTGTGTGTGTGTGTGTGTGTGGCTGTTGCTTAGGAGAAATTTAAACAAAATTCTCATCCTCTTTTCTTGAGCTACATTCTCAACTGCAGCTGTCTTTATTAGAACTAAGACTTTAAATTTAAAAAGTGAATTTGACTAGTTATTTTTCATTTTTTAAAACTCAGAACAATAATACAGTGATGAAGCATTTCTTTTTGGTGTTAGAACCTAAGTGGTAAGATCTGTACTGTCTCAGTGGGGGTGGAGGGTGGGTGGCTTGTCTCTCAAAGAAACAGGACAGATCATTACAGTAAGGTGAGGTTTTTTTGTTTGTATTTTCAAGACTGGATTTCTCTGTAGCTTTGGAGTTTGTCCAGAAATTAGCTCTTTGGCCTTGAACTCAAACTCAACAGAGATCCGCCTACCTTTGCCTCCCAATTGCTGTGACTGAAGGTGTGTGCCACCACCCCCTAGCTGCGGTAAGATGTTCTTAAAATGAGATATATTTTTGTTTTTAAAAAATTTATTACTATTATCAGACAGGCATACTGATGCACACCTTTAACCCCAGCACTTAGGAGGCAAAAGCAGACAGATCTCTGAATTTGAAGCCAGTCTGGTCTGCAAAATGAGTTCCAGGGCTACACAGAGAAACCGTGTTTCAAAAAAACCAAAACAAAAACTTAGCATGAACGTGTGTGCGCGTGTCACTGTGTATCGTGGCACATCTGTGGAGATCAGAAAGAGGGTCTCTCACTGTTTATATAGCCTTAGCTGGTCTGGAACTTGCTGTGTAGATAAGGCTAGTCTTGAACTCACAGAGCTCCATCTGCTTTTGCCTCCCCCGTGCTAGGATTATAGGCATGAACCACCATACCTGTCAGAGGACAACTTTTTATAGTTTTTTTCCTTCTATCATGTGTTTTAAGGATCCATCTCAGGTTGTCAGGTTTGCAATTTTTTTTTTTTTTTTTTGAGACAGACTGACAGGGTTCTCTGTAGCTTTAGAGCCTGTCCTGGAACTAGCTCTTGTAGACTAGGCTGGCCTCGAACTCACAGAGATCCACCTGCCTCTGCCTCCCAAGTGCTGGGATTAAAGGTGTGCGCCACCACTGCCCGGCTCAGGTTTGCAAATCTTTTGCTGAGCTTTCTTGTCTGCCTTTCCCCAAAGTGTTTAGAAACATTTTCCTTACATTATTTTTTGCTCAGATTAAAATAGTACCTACTTGAACTGGGTGTCATTCTGACTGGTAGGTAACATTAGATCTTTCCATTGCTTTCTGGTATTGTAAACTGTATTAGCAGTGAGTAACTCTGCCTTTTGTCCTCTGTTCATAGGTCTTTGGGGCACTTTTTTCTAGCCCTGTCAACTGGTGTGTGTATGTGTGCACACACACACCTAAAGGGCTCCTGGGAGGAACCCTGGTGCCTGGGGATAAGGCCTGGCATGTGCCCTGTGGGTGGGAGGTTTCTACAACCTGGGTCTACTTGAAAATGTGACTTGCAGCTTTACCTTTCCCAAAGCCTTTGGGCTTAAACGTGGATGAGTAGCAATAGGACTTGCCTGCATTCTCAGCATGGGCCCTGCCAGTCGCTATCTCTTCACATTCCTAAGGCTTTCGACAGGGTTAGTGCCAGTCCTTGCTTATCGGTCTCCCACTTAGTGAAGTCCACCTCCTTGCCCCGCTAGGACACAGCAGAACACCCTGGTCTGGGATGAGTGGCTGCAGCCAGGAAGGAGTAGGCTTTGGGCTCTGATTTTTACTTACTGCCTAGCATAGCTTCAGTTCTTAAAGAATTTATAATTTTGGTATCAGTACCACCAGCTAAATTGTAGGCATTATTAACTTTATGAATAGGGAGGCAGAGGCAGGTGGATCTCTTGAGTTCCAGGTCAGCCTGGTCTACAAAGCCTCAAAGTCTAAAGTTGCAGAACTACCTTAATTACCTTAAATGAGATCCTGTCTCAAAACAAAACAAAAACAAAAATTAACATAAAAACTGGTTATGAGCCGGGCGGTGGTGGCGCACGCCTTTAATCCCAGCACTTGGGAGGCAGAGGCAGTCGGATCTCTGTGAGTTCGAGGCCAGCCTGGTCTACAAGAGCTAGTTCCAGGACAGGAACCAAAAGCTACGGAGAAACCCTGTCTCGAAAAATCAAAAAAAAAAAAAAAACTGGTTATGAATAATAGCAGTGTTACTACTATCAAAAGCATACCATTGGCCTGGGGGTACAACTCAGGGACTGACAAATTGCATGGCATGCAGAAAGCCTCAAGCTTAAACCCACTACAAGGGGGGCTGGAGAGATGGCTCAGTGGATAAGAGCATTGCCTGCTCTTCCAAAGGTCCTGAGTTCAATTCCCAGCAACCACATGGTGGCTCACAGCCATCTGTAATGAGGTCTGGTGCCCTCTTCTGGCCTGTAGACATACACACAGACAGAATATTGTATGCATAATAAATAAATATTTAAAAAAAACCACTACAAGGTAGGGGATAGGGAGGAAAGAGCTAGTAAATAACTTTTGGTGAGGCTTTTTCCCTGTTTATTTTTTTCTCTCATTTAAAAATATTTATGGCCAGCAATAGTGGTGCACACCTGTAGTCCCAGCACTTGGGAGGCAGAGGCAGGCAGATCTCTGAGTTTGAGGGTAGCCTGGTCTACAGAGCAAGTTCCAGTACAGTCAGAGCTGTTACAAAGAAATCCTGTCTCAAAAATAAACCAAAAGAAAAGAGAAAAAAAAAAATTCTGGTAGGTCGGGAGTAGTGGTGCATGCCTTTTGTCTGTACTTTAACATATTTGATACTTGCAATGCATTTTAATAATGTAAGCATTAAATACTGTTGTTTCAGATCCTAATAATCTGATTTTCTCCTGTACTTTTCCAAGCCTGCTTTAATGGAATTGTTTGCCTTCTTGATTGTTTCTAATAGTGGGACACAGCAGGCCAGGAACGATTTAGAACAATCACCTCCAGTTACTACAGAGGAGCCCATGGCATCATAGTTGTGTATGATGTGACAGATCAGGTAAGTGTCTAGAAAGTGTTTTATCAACAAAGCAGGGACTTACTTTTTGTGTATGTGTACATTTTCGACACTCTCACTGTGCTGCTCTGGTTGACCTGCAACTCAATATGTAGACAGGCTGCCCTTGAATACTTTTCTTTTGATCAGAAATTTATTTTTACCATTAGAGAAATTTTTTTATTTTCTTTTTTCTTTTTTGGATTTTTCGAGACAGGGTTTTTCTGTAGCTTTTTGGTTCCTGTCCTGGAACTAGCTCTTGTATTACAAGCAGAAGATGCATGGATATGCGGAGAAGAAAATGCTACATTAGCATGATGTCATGTGCCTGTTGTGGTCTACCTGCTTGGGAGGCTGAGATAAGCTCTCAGGATCCCAGAGGATTGGGACCAGCCTAGGCAGCATCTCAAAAAAATAATCAGAATATGTTAACTTTAAACATGTCTAGTCTATTACCATAATTTTGTTGTTTGTTTTTTGGGACAGGGTTTCTTTGACTAGCCCTGGCTGTCTTGGAGCTCTAAAGACAAAGCTGACCTTGAACTGAGAGACCTGCCTTCCTTTACTCCCCACACCCCACACCCCAGCACTGGGATCAAAGGCACATGCTACCACTCCTGACCTACCATTAAAAAAAAATTCCTTTTTTGAGACTGGGTTTCTCTGTGTTGGAACTCGCTTTGTAGACCAGGCTGTCTTAGACTGAGAGCTACCTGCCTCTGCCTCCCAAGTGCTGGGATTAAAGCTGTGCTGTAGCCAGGCAGTGGTGGCGCACGCCTTTAATCCCAGCACTCATGAGGCAGAGGCAGGAGGATCTCTGAGTTCGAGGCCAGCCTGGTCTACAGAGCAAGTTCCAGGACAGGCTCCAAAGCTACAGAGAAACCCTGTCTTGAAAAACCACAAACAAATAAATAAAGCTGTCTCTGTATCCAGCTCTGTATCTAGTAAAAACTAGAATTTTACTAAATTTCAGAAACTAGGTTTTGTTAGTACTTTAAAATTTCAATTTTTGGGGAGTTTGCCCCATTAAATATTTAACTATTTCCCTTTCCAAATAAGCTATTTTTAGTTCAGGCCTTCCAGTCCTCATTAGATGAGCCTTGTCATTGTAATGTATGAGTTTCTCTCCTTGCATTATAGTTGTCGCTAGGGTTTCACAGGAGCTGTTTATCGATCATTAGTTGCATCCAGAGCTGTATCGTTCTTATCTTTCAGGAGTCCTTCAATAATGTTAAACAGTGGCTGCAGGAGATAGATCGCTATGCCAGTGAAAATGTCAACAAGTTGTTGGTAGGGAACAAGTGTGACCTGACCACAAAGAAAGTAGTAGACTACACAACAGCAAAGGTATGTATGAGGTTTGACTTTTTAAACTGGATTTTAATTAAGGGAATGAATGGGTCACAGAGGCTAAGACTGTCTCAACCTTTAAGTCAGTCCTTCATTGCCATTTCAGAAAGCACTGACAGATCAAGTTAGAAAGGTTTTCCAGTGTTCACTGTTCCTTATTACTCTCTCAGGAATTTGCCGATTCCCTTGGAATTCCATTTTTGGAAACCAGTGCTAAGAATGCAACGAATGTAGAACAGTCTTTCATGACGATGGCAGCTGAGATTAAAAAGCGAATGGGTCCTGGAGCAACAGCTGGTGGTGCAGAGAAGTCCAATGTTAAAATCCAGAGCACTCCAGTCAAGCAGTCAGGTGGAGGTTGCTGCTAAAATTTGCCTCCGTCCTTTTCTCACAGCAATGAATTCGCAATCTGAACCCAAGTGAAAAACAAAATTGCCTGAATTGTACTGTATGTAGCTGCACTACAACAGATTCTTACCGTTTCCACAAGGTCAGAGATTGTAAATGGTCAATACTGACTTTTTTTTTATTCCCTTGACTCAAGACAGCTAACTTCATTTTCAGAACTGTTTTAAACCTTTGTGTGCTGGTTCATAAAATAATGTGTGTAATCCTTGTTGCTTTCCTGATACCAGATTGTTTCCCGTGGTTGGTTAGAATTTATTTTGTTTTGATGTTTATATTGGCATGTTTTAGATGTTGGGTTTAGTCTTCTGAAGATGAAGTTCAGCCATTTTGTATCAAACAGCACAACCAGTGTCTGTCAATTTCCATGCATAAAGTTTAGTGAGACGTTCTATGTAAGATCTGATTTGCTAGTTCTTCCTTGTAGAGTTATAAATGGAAAGATTACACTATCTGATCAATAGTTTCTTCATACTCTGCATATAATTTGTGGCTGCAGAATATTGTAATTTGTTGCACACTATGTAACAAAACTGAAGATATGTTTAATAAATATTGTACTTATTGGAAGTCATATCAAACTGTATGGTGATAAGTATTGTTTTAATTCTTATGGTTAAAGGGAAATAGGTTTGCATTATACTCAACAGCCATTTGTGTGTGCAGCAAGGGCACTGTAGACCTATCTTATAGCACAGCATCCAGTATTTGCTTTCTAGTAGTAGACCTGCTAAGTGACCTAGAGAAGCTTCTGTGCTGTGTAGACTGAACCAGCTTCATTGGTTCAAGGAGCTCAAACTGTATGGAAAACAAGTTTAGAATGTATGCTCCCTAGCGCTTCATCTCCAGTCCTAAAACCATCTGAAGTGGCTTCACTGGCAACCCTTTTTCATGTGTCTGTGGTAGAGCTGGAGAGCAGCACATGCTTCCTCACAGCAGTGACCTGGTAATATGTGCTGGTGCTCCCTCCATGCTCTGAGTCAGATGTCACACAATATTATTATTATTGTTATTTTTGCTTTTGGAGACAGGGTTTCTCTGTGTAGTTCTGGCTGTCCTGGAACTTGCTGTGTGAACCAGGCTGACCTCGAACTCAGGGATCCACCTGTCTCTGCCTCCAAAGTGCTGGGATTAAAGGCGTGCACCACCACGCCTGGCTTTTTCTTTTTCTTTTTTTGAGACAGAGTCTCACTATGTAACCCTTACTGGCCTGGAAGTTAGTATGTGCAACAAACTGATCCCTCACAGAGACCCACCTGCCTTTTCTTCCCAAATGGTGGGATTAAAGGCATGTACTACAATACCAGACTACACCGTTTTTTTTTTTTTTTTGAGACAGTGTCTCATGTAGCTCAAGAGGCCTCAAAATCACTTGTAACCAAGGATGGCCTTGAAACTCCTGATCCTCCTGCCCCCACTTCCAGGTGTCAACTTTTTATTCTTTCCAATTGTATAACTCATGTTGGAGGAGAATTTAAGCATTAGAATAGAAAGCAGGAAATGTTGATTGCCCTAATTGTAGCCCACTTCTATCCCCCGAAAATTAACTCAAAACATGAACGGTAGATGGGAATGATGAGAGAATAATATATTTCAGTGAAATTTTTGCATGTGTGAAAGTTTTGTTAACTAGGAACTTTGAGATCCTAGACTTTGCTTTTGTCTTACAGTGGGAAACAAAGTCTCTTAGGGACACTAGCATTGAAGGTGACAGAGGTCAGAGATTGTTTCCTTTGGTTTAAGCAGCAGCCAAACATTCTTCAATTGGGGGCTTAGGATGTGGCTGCTGAAAACACATTTTATTATGGGGTCTTTAATGATAAAATATTAAGCTAAAAATAAGTCAAAAATTACAGGTTTCTTTATTTTTCACTAAACAGACAATTGAAATACATGGTACAAAAATAAGTGGTAAGATTATTGTAAAATGAAAAATGGACAGAATAAATATTCAATTTAATTTTCCATCTATGAGAATTTCACAATAAAATCATAGTTTACTTTGTATTATAGATGTGCTTGTTGGGTCTATTCGTCCTTATGTAAGACAACTGGAAACTCCTGAAGCCATCAGTATATATGGGTCAAAATATATTTTGACCTATATACATATATATATATATTGTACACTGTTGGGTTTTTTCCTTGACAATACAAAGGGAGAAAGAGTTCATAAACTGTTTTCTATAATAACTAAATGATAAAGAAACAATGTAAGACAAAGTGATGCCATGCACTTTAATTTTACAATAGCAAAAACTGTTCAAACTTTTGGTTTATTCTTTGTTAGCAGAAAACATTTATAATATAAACAAATTTACAGACTTTGCAAAATCCTAGTTTTCTTTCACCACTGGCAGCAAGATTAGGGCTTACAACACCATTTCAGTACACTTAACTACTATTTGCTTTGATGTATGCACCAATAAATGCAGTTTGGGGGGTATATCCCACTTTTCAAGTATAAACACTTCAAGACTATTGGGGGCTCTAATTGTGCACATAATAGCGAAATACCAATTATACTAAAAATGAAAAGTGGCTGCTACACAGTAACTTGTGTAATATGAAGAACATTCTGCCATTGCCTGGAACCCTTAACAAACAGTAGTCATTGGACTCATGCTAACTTCCTATGCTCACTTGAGAAGAAGTTCCCTCTCAAGCACATATTGGCCATTCAGCACACCGCTCCTTTTGGGTTCCATTTAAGTTTCAGAACAACCTGTCTTTGAAGCCTCTGTTTTGTGCTAGAGCTTAGCTCTAGACAGACAAGAACCCTGCATTGAGATGCTACTTTATTGTGGACTCAAATGAACTTTAAAGGACCGTATATAAATTCTAACATGGCCATGTGAATGAACCTACCCTGGCCACACTTGCACATGGAAATGGTGGCATCATCCTAGGCTGAGACAGTTTCAGCTCAAAAGTTAACACACAGCAGAAGATACAATTAACAGCTGTGTTGATATTCTTAAGTGGCGTTCACAGCCAAGGTCAGAGTTTGCACCCTTTAGTTACAAAAAAGCTTATCTTTTTGTTACAAAGAGGATGAACAAAAGCATGGACCGTCTTCAGGCAAGGTAGTACTTTGTTGGGAAACAGTATATTCCAAACTAAACACTGTCAGTTGAAGCTGGTTGTAATTATACTTTAAGAGAACAGGAGCGCTTCATTCTGCATTCAATTGGTGCAACTGGTTAACTCTTTTCTGTAAGGTTCTGCCATCTTCAGGGTTTTTTTTTAATTTATTTATTATGTATATAGTGTTCTGGGCACCAGATCTCATTATAGATGGGTGTGAGCCATCATGTGGTTGCTGTTTTGAACTTAGGACCTCTGGAACAGCAGTGAGTTCTCTTAACCTCTGAGCCATCTCTCCAGCCCATCCATCTTCAGTTTTTATGCTGACTGACTTTCATGCCTGCCATATGGGTTTAATTTCTGAGGGCAGCTCTAACATTAATGAGAAGTCAATTTAAAGTCACACCAGAAAGGTAAAATGTACTGATTTTTAACCAATTCTCATTTGCTAGAAAAGCATTTTCTTTTGCCTTTTGAAAGCACATTATTCACCACGTACAATGTAAGAAATAAGCTTGACTTAGAGATGGCAGAATCAACACAGTTTAATTTGGATCACGCCCATAAGCATTGTGAAAAGCCATACTGGGTTGCAGCAGGCATGTGAAATATTGTACTTTATGTCTAAAAGATTAACAGGTATGCTAATTCCAAGTACTTAGAACATTTCTTGAGCAGCTTATCTGCTGGTTTTTAAACAGAAGAGGTACATGAGACCCACAAATCCTAGTATTTTATCAAAATTGTAAAGCCACGTATTTTTGGTAGAGAAGCACCAAAAGGAAAAGCCTTCGTTTGGAGGGTTTCACGATGAGAACAGAGACTCAAGAACCCTTCAGAGATGGGAAAGGCATCTTAAAGCAGTTTGTTCAGAGCTGTGTCTCCCTTACACCTTAACTGTTAAATGGTTCTTCCAACAAGTTCTTGTTTTCTCCCCAGTTTAGCTGATGATGAGTCCACCTGTGCCTGAAACAGAAAGCAAGGGTGACAGGCATCTGCTCACACTGCTTTGATGCAAATCTGAGTCCCCATTTACTCCTATTATGCTTTAAAGATGTCTTGGTATGTAGCCCAGGCTGGCTTCTATCACTGAATCCTTTCTGAGATTACAGGTCTCTACAGCCCCGCCCCGGAGTCTCTGCTCTTGACATGTTTTCAGCATATGCTCACTGAGACAACTTTATTGGTAAACATTTTGTAAAAGAGGCTGTTCCAGAAAAAGTACAATAGAATTGTGTGGTTCTGAAATGCTAGATAGGGTAGGCACCAGGTAACCCTCTCTTTCTCTTGGCCTCTCTTTCCTATTATTCATTCCCAGTTTGACTTTCTAAAAGGTAAGATGAAAGTTGTAGTTAACGAGCAGTATTTGTAAAGTCTCTAGAAGTGCCATACCCCACGGTCTTTGGGGAAGGATGTGGTATAAGATTTGCAAAGATACTTTGTGGGAAGGGGGTAGAGTAGAGAGCTGGCAATTGACTGGATTTTTGTAGATGTTTGTGTTGTTACAGATGCCTGGAGACAAGTGCTAATGAGCTGGGTGAGAGCCTACAGGCCAGGCAGTCTTAACAAAGTCTGCCTGAAGATCAGAGTGCAGAGCTAAGACAGGGGAGGCCAGAGAGTAGTGACAAACACTTTTAATCCCCAGGACTCAGAGATGGTGATGGCAGCGAGATCTCTATTAGTTCAAGGCCATTCTGGGCTACAGGAGATTGAATCTGTCTAAAGGAGAAACAGCTCACACAAAGGTGACCACACTTGGGAGTCCTAGACCTTTGTTCCCAGCATTAGGGAGATGGAGACAGGAAGGGATATAGCTAGGTGAGTTGAGACAAGAGCTCATTGCAGTCTGAGGCTCGCCCCTGCAGTCCAAGGACTGCCCCTTCGGTCTGATCATTGGTAGAGGTAAAATGTCTCTAGTGGCTGGCCTCACTCTTCTCTGATCCTTCAGGCAAGCTTTGTTAAAACACAAAATACCACTATAGCCCACACTGGAGAAGTGCCTGTGGGAAATGAGCACTGGTAAGGGTTACTGTTCCTGTCTGCGGGTGGAGTCATGGTGAAGAGAACACTCAGAAGTGGGGACGTGGGGTGCTCCTCAGCAAGCACATGGAAACAGTGGAACCAACTTGAGTTCCACCACAGGAAGAGCCACGCCGCTGCCAGGGTAGCGAGTCCCACAGCACTCCGTCACCCCAACTGAGCTGTTCAGAAGTAATCCTTTACTAGGACAGCCCTGTGTCCTGGTCAGCAGTGGCTGGACAGCAGGTTCTGGGTTTTTCTACTTACTGAGTTAAAGTCTTTCAGGCAGGTGTTCTTTAGCTGCTGTTGGCCTGTGGTCAGGGATGAGGGTACAGCCGGCCAACATGTCCAAAGAGGCTAAGATGGAGTCATAAAGGTGATCTGCACAGCTCTCCAGCTCACCAGACTGCTCTGCGATCCTCCCAAGGACATCCTTCAAAACTAGCGGTGGTCAAGTCATAAAAGGAATAGCCATTTGCTCAGACAGGGATGTAGTAGCTCACAGTTCCTCCTCCCCTACCCCAGCAGGGTCTCCTGTAGAGCAGGCAGACCTCTTTTTAAGCTTTCTACCTGAATAAGACCTTCAACTTTTGTATACACCATTACACTAGTTTATGTAGCTGTGGGGACAGAACCCAAGACTTCATGCAAGATTTCATGTTTGAATAAGTACTACCAATTGAGCCACATTCCCAGTCCACCTCTCTCCTTTTCAACAGGAATGCTCCAAGGGGAAATCTGTAGATTTTTAGGGCATAGAGAATCAGTGACCAAAACTGGAGCAAAGGCGTGAGAATAGGCTAAATTCACTCCCACAGGTCAGAATGAGAAGAGGGGTGTGCTGGGGTCAGAGTATGCAATTGGAAGGCTGTTTCCTTTTGTTACACACAAAAGCTACTTCCTGTGCTTTATCGGCTGTGTTATTAACTGTTCCCTAGCTTCCTGCCCTAGGGAACATCTGCCAGCCGAGGATAAGAAAGGGGAAGCCTTTGTTCTCTACACAACGTGGACTAGAGGGGGCAGAAAGGGAAGGAACAGCAAGCTGGGTGTGTTGAGGTTAGCCCCTTAGGAAGCCACGTGAGGGCAAAGTGCTGTCCTAACAAGAGAGCTGGTGCCATAGGAATGCTGTAGGGTGGCTGAGCCAAGCTCGGTTCAGTCTTCCTGTGTGCCATCAGTGGGATTCTAGGGGCCTTTGACTTAAAACTACTGTAAACAGGTCATGGAAGAAAGGCTAGAAAGATCTGTTTTCCTGTTGTGATTTTTGTGTTGTTTTAATTTAACATATGCATATGGGACTTCATTTGGCTTAATTCCCATGGGGTTCAGTCATGTGACTCAAGCAGTTTGAACATAAGACAAAATGTCAGCCTGTATTTATGTAACTAGGTCAAAATGCCTTTGGCGGGGTGCTGGCATAGGGGCCTCTTGGTAGAGTTAAGGTACACTCACACTCCCAAGGTTATATTTGTAGCAAGTAAAAAAGCAGGATCTGAAAAGGCTGTCTGTGTGTGTGTGTGTGTGTGTGTACACACTGACAGGATGCTGCTTTTGCTGCTTATGAGAGGAGGAAGTAGGAAGTGTCAAGAGGAACTTGAACAATACAGCTAAATGCTCCAATTATTCCAGGCAGAGGACTGGGAGGAGTTAGCCTATCATTCTGAAGGAACTTGGATTCATGTCTCAGACTCAATCCAGAAGAACTGCAGACAGGCCTTCCGAGAAGCAAGGGCTCACCAGTTCACTTTGCTGGAGACCTGTTAGTGGCTGCTTTCCATCAAAACTTTACCATGTGTTTGGTCACTTGACCCAGAGTACAACTGACACTGTCTAGAAATGTTTTTAGGGCATCAACACTGTGGAGATGTAATGCCTTCTGTGCTGCAAAACATCTTGCAAAGCTTTATATGGCAGTGGCACCAAGCCTGAGAAACTGTTTTGTAACCTTTCTCCAGTAGGTAGGTACCTGGCCATCAGTTCACACAAGATTCATCACGGTTGTGTTGATGCCATTTGGTTCCCCTTTAAGTACTCTTTCTTTGGAACTGTGTAGTACTACAGGACATTAGTGGTCACTTTGGGGCCCATCAGTTCAAGGCTTTTGCAGACACAGATGGGCATCAGTGCCTGGCGTGAAGGCAGTTAGAAATACTCTTGAAGTTCTCACACTTTGCTAAATTTGGAACCTATCCTGCAAATGGGTTTAAGTCTGGTTTGTATGGAAATGCAACCCTGTCCTCCCATCAGGTTAATTCGTTTTTTTGTCTTTCAAAACAGGGTTCTTCTCTCTGTGTAGCCTTGGCTGTCCTGGAACTCGCTCTGTAGACCAGGCTGGCCTCAAACACAGAGATCTGCCTGCCTCTGCTTTTCAAGTGCTTGGGAGTAAAGGCATGTGCCACCATTTCCCAGCTTCAGTTTAATTCTTAAAATATATTTTTTAATTCTTTGTAAATTTCACATAATGTATTCTGATCATATCCCCACTCATTCTCCTAATAAATTTAAATCCTTTTAACTCATCTGTCCCTGAAAACAGACTTTATTTTTGACAAAGGAGCCAGGTTGGTCTCAAACCTTCTAAGTGCTAGGAAGCAGGCTGGGCAGTAACTGCCTATAGCTGATATGATCCTTGCTTTTTTGACAGAAACCCTTCCCTAAATTAGTAGGATATAAAATAGAGAAACCTGCCAGTTAAAACTTGAGCTAAACAGGAAATTTGAGGGCTTCCACTGACTACCCCACCTACAACTAAGGACTGCCAGATCAAATAAATTCTAGTTTCCTGGGCCAGGGAAATGGCTCAGTGGGTAAACCTGAGGACCTAATTTTGAGAGAACCCACTCTCAGAAGCTGCCCTCTGATCTCTACATCTGTGCCATGCACACACACACACACACACACACACCTGAACTCACACAATACACACTTACTTAGAACATTGCCAGAGACTTATAAAAGCAAAAGAATGAGTTCCTTTGGGGCTGGCACAATGGCTCAGAGAAGAAAGTGCTTGCTGGGCTACCCTGACAGTCTCACTGTGTAAAAAGTTCAGCAAGATGGCAGGCAGAGAGGAAGAGTCCAGGGGAAGAAGCAAGCCTATGCCCTTGCCTCAAAACAAGGTAGAAGGGGCCTCACCCGCTACATTAAAAAATAAATAAATAAATAAATAAAGCCTTTCTGGGGAGTGGTGGCGTACATCTTTAATCCTAGCACTCAGGAGGCAGAGGCAGGCGGATCTCTGTTGAGTTCGGGGCCAGCCTGATCTACAGAATGAGTTCCAGGACAGGCTCTATAGCTACTGGAAACACTGTCTCGAAAAACCAAAAACTAAAAAATAAAAATAAAAAACAAACAAACCCAAAAAACAAGTATCTTTTTCTTGTAGCTCAATGCCTTAGGCTTACGTCTATGCCCATAACTCTCACCATGGGTCTGCAGGGTCTGGAGGGTCAGCGACATGAGGAGCCAGTAGGTGTTCTTTGTGGAAGTTACGTTTGTGGAAGGCAATGTGCACGTTTTCTTACAACAGGAGAGCAAAACCTGAAGCACACGGCTGGAAATGCAGCTCATTGGTAGCATCTTACACCCCAAGGCCCTGGACTTGACCTCTCAGCAGTGGATTCAAACAAACAAAAGACCAAAAACAACACTCAAGACTAGACTGATGGTTAAGAATACTTAGCTCTTGGAAAATACCAGGTTTGGTTCCTAACACCTACTTGGAAGCTCACAGTAATTTTTTAATTCCAGTTTCAGGAGCTCCAACACCCTCTTCTGACCCCCACATGTTCTTGCGTGCATGTGGTACATATACACACACACGCAGGCACACACACACATCTAAAAACCAAACACCTCAAGCAAATATACACAGACACTCAGGGCTCAGTGATGAGGAGCACAGACAGCTCTTCAGAAGACTTGAGTTTGTTACTTAGGCTGCTCACATGCAGCTGTAGCGCAAGGGGAGCTAATGTCCTGGCCTCCAAGAACATCTGTATTCATATCATTACCCTCACATAGAAACACACATAATTGAAAAATAAGTCTTTTATTAAAAAGGGTATTGCGCTGGTCATCCCATTCTTTCAGGAGGCAGAAGCAGGCACGTCTCTCTGAGTTCAAGGCCAGCCTCGCTACCTAGTGAATTCCAGGACAGAGCTCCATAGTGAGACTCTGTCTCAAAACGAACAAAAAACACTATAGGGCCTGTGAGGCAGCACAGTAGGTCGCACCTAGCCTAATGACCTGCCTTTGACCTCTGGAGCCCACATAATATACAAGAATTCAAATAAGCCGGGGCGGTGGTGGCACGCCTTTAATCCAGCACTCGGGAGACAGAGGCAGGCAGATCTCTGTGAGTTCGAGGCCAGCCTGGTCTACAACAGCTAGTTCCAGGACAGGCTCCAAAACCACAGAGAAACCCTGTCTCGAAAAAACAACAACAAAAAAAGAATTCAAATAAACAAACACAACACCGTGACCAGGAACTAGGATAGGAGACCTTGTCTCACAAAATAAAATTGCAGGCGTAAACCTGTAATTCCAGGACTTAAGGCAGAGGTAGGAGAATCCTTGCGGGTTCAAGACCATCCTGATCTATACAGTGAGTTCCTGCCTAGTCAGAGCTAAATAGGGAAACTGTCTCAAAAACTAAGCAACAAAAAACAAAATTTCTAGCGTTACTATTAATAGCCACCTGATTTAAAAAAAAAATGGATGAATGACCTAGATACTTCAGAAGAGGATATTAGGAAAGGGCAGCAAACCTCTGAAAAAGGTTCACTATTATTAATCAGAAGGGAACTACGTGATATATAATCTTTAGGTAAGATGGCTTAGTTGAAACAGACAAAATGACAGCAAGGATGACAGCAAGGGATGTCTTCCACACGGCTGGCGGGAAGCAGTATGGAGGTCTGTACTAGACCAGAGACAGCAGCAGGACCTGGGAGCCCTGTGACTATGAGCGTCTGGGAGAATGATGCCACTCTCATGTTTGCTGTGCTCTATAGTCACATCTCTGCATGAGACGGAACGCATGTGGGGATGGGACCAATCTGAAAACCCCTGTCCGTTGAAGCTGATGAGAATTCTACATTGAGATGATAGAGTGCCACCACATTCTAAATTCAATTGCTGTAATAGTGGCTAGTTTTTTTAAATTTATTTTTAATTACATGTGTATGTGTGCACAGGCGAGTCGAGAAGACGACACTGGATGTCCTAGAGCTGGAGTTACAGTGCTCACAATAGCTAAGCTGTTTTTCCAGTTCCTGGCTAGTGGTCACCTTTGTTTTTATTTATTTAGAGACAGGGTCTCATTATATAGCCCAGTCTGTCCTGGAACTATCACACCAGGCTAGCCAGAAATTTAAGAAGCAGCTCTGCCTCCCAAGTACTGGGATTAAAGACGTACCACTATGCTCTTCATCTTTCATTTTACATTGACTACTTCAAACTTTTTAATTATGTATACAGTGTTCCTCCTGCATGTATGCCTGCAGGCCAGAAGAGGGCACCAGATCTCATTATAGATGGTTGAGTCAACATGTGATTGCTGGGAATTTAACCTCTGAGCCACCTCACCAGCCCAATTTAGACTTTTATATTAAAATTCACTTGTAGGTGAATGGATTGAATTCTGAATGGATTGAATTCCTAAGGGCTGCTCTAAAACACTCAGTGGAAAGGCATGCCCCAATTATAGCTACATACAGTGGACATGTGTACCACACTGGACCCATAGATACAGAGATACATTATGTGTCAATAAACAAGCAAACAGAGCTCTTGCTTACCCACCTGGGGTGTTATCCATCAGGCACTGAAGAAGAATCTCCCCCTTCTCCAAGACACTCTCTGTCAGGGACTGATGTTTGTCTACATCTTTCTTAAATTGCTTAAGACATCAAGAAAGAAAAAGAGCTTCAATATTATTGCTTGTAAAAGTTGTCTAGAATGAACTTGACCCAACACTCGACTTCTCTAACATGGAAGACGGCCATCATGCAGTAGAATCCCTCAGTGGGCCAGTCTAGTGGCAGCTTCTTTGAGTCCATGGGAAATATATTCATTCATTTTCTTTGTTGTTTTGAAGCAGGGTCTTAATTTGGCTCAGGCTGTTCTAAAGCCCTCCTTCTTACCCTCCCCAGGGCTAGAATTATAACCCTGGGCCATCAAGCCCAGCTCAACAGAAGACTTCTCCCCCGAGAAGCTGGCTCTTGAACAGGCTGGAATGGGATTTAATTTTGTGCCTTCCTTTATGGTGTTCTCTAACTCAGTATGGGACTCACCTCTAGAATGAACACGTTAAATAAGAACTACAAGCAGAGCTTGCCCCTACACTGACTGGCGGAACTGTGGCCCTCACCTTAATTCCTCCTCTCTATGGACCTCTACAGCAACACCTTGGCATCAGGGAAGCTGATGTTTTCCCAAAAACTCTTCCCAAGCAGGTTTTCCCTCACAACTACAAAGCAGTGTTGCTGATTTTTACTTTTTTTAAAGACAGTCCTGGCTGTCCTAAACTACTATGTAAACTGGGCTGGCCACAAACTCAGAGCTATAACTACTTCTGTCTCCTGAGTGCTAATTTAAAGGCAAGTGCCACCACAGTTGGCTGTAGCTAATTTTATTTTTAAATCTTTCTTTAGCAGGTAAAAATTGTATAAAATTAAACTATGACATGGGGCAGACCTCACTGTTTAATATTTTGAGGGTGCTTTTTTATTCTTGGATTTGTTCTCCTGTCATCACTATTACTCTGCCCCCAAGCACTTTATTCTCCTGGGCAAGCGGGCAAGAAAGGGTGAGGACAGGAAGGAATGAGGGACAGGAGAGGACGGGGACAGGAGAGGACGAGGGGACAGGAGAGGACGGGGGACAGGAGAGGACAAGGGGACAGGAGAGGACGGGGGACAGGAGAGGACGGGGACAGGAGAGGACGAGGGGACAGGAGAGGACGGAGACAGGAGAGGACGGGGACAGGAGAGGACGGGGACAGGAGAGGACGAGGGGACAGGAGAGGACGAGGGGACAGGAGAGGACGGAGACAGGAGAGGACGAGGGGACAGGAGAGGACGAGGGGACAGGAGAGGACGGGGACAGGAGAGGACGAGGGAACAGGAGAGGACGAGGGGACAGGAGAGGACGGGGACAGGAGAGGACGAGGGGACAGGAGAGGACGAGGGGACAGGAGAGGACGAGGGGACAGGAGAGGACGAGGGGACAGGAGAGGAAGGGGACAGGAGAGGACCAGGGGACAGGAGAGGACGGGGACAGGAGAGGACCAGGGGACAGGAAAGGACGAGGGGACAGGAGAGGACGGGGACAGGAGAGGACGGGGACAGGAGAGGACGGGGGGACAGGAGAGGACGGGGGGACAGGAGAGGACGGGGACAGGAGAGGAAGAGTGATGATTAAAATGTAAGCACCCATAAGTCTGAGAACTCAGTCTCAGTCTAACAAGAGCCAAGAGAGCCCATTCGTAAGTCCTGTCCCATTCTGAGGAAGGCATTAGTAGAATCATCTCACTGACAAAGCTGTGGTCATACAAGGGGTCTAAGCTTGACTAATATGCAGGAATAAGTCCTGGCTCAGAGCTTAGCTGTCTACAATGCAAGATGGTTGCATCTGGCTACTCTTAAGTTGAGTCACAGAGGGGCTTATGAGGGTCAAATGCAGAGTGGAGTAAGTCTACTTTCACTTGTTCAGCCAGGCCAGGAAAGGCTACTCAGTGTCAGAGAGCAATTTCCTCTCCCTGGGACTCCCCAGGTACACTCTCCAGGCACAGACACACTGTGTTTGAACAGAGAGAACCTTCAGGTTCAGCCTTCAGCTCTTTCCTTAAGTTTTTCTCTATCTCTACACTGTATCTAAGAGCATCCCTGCCATGGCGGGACAGCTGGCTAGCCCAGGCTAGATTTAGTAAACTGCAAAGACAGAAAACAAGGGCCCTCCTCTCCAGACATGAAGTTCCCAGGATGCTGACTCAGAGCTTGGAACTAAATCTCACCGTCTTCTGCTGATTCAGTGTTAGGGTATATGATCTGATATAGGTTCCCCATTCCCTGCCAGACTAGCAGCAGGTCTGGGCTACAAACACCATCACCATGTGGTCAAAGCCAGCCAAGCTACCCAAGGTTAGCAGTTACAGGAATTACCGTCCATTTCAATATACTTTTAATCTAGTATCACTAGCTAAAATACATAGGTGTGAAATAATAGACCTTAATAACAAACAGGCGTAAAATAAAATCCATAAAACTGGTGTCAGATTTTGGGTTAAATTTGGCTTAAATCTGTCCTATCACATGACCCCATCTATGCCTGGATTCAGTAGTTTCAACTCAGCTCCATAAACACCAATACAGTCCAGAACCGTGGTGATGTTGACGTGTTCTGTCTGCAGTGCCCCGTGTGGCAGCCACCACATAGCTGTGGTGCACACCTGACTTAACTGAACTGTCATTCGATTCCCAGGCCTAAGGATCCAATCCTGAGACATCTGCCAAAGTACAATGCAAATCCCCTCGAAAACATTTCTGATTTGAGACAAATATCATTTTCCTCTATCTGGTCTGGAAGTTCAGTCATATTTTATAGTTTTTAAAATTTGGAATTTAAAAAAGATATCTTGAGGGGCTGGAGAGATGGCTCAGTGGTTAAGAGCACTGACTGCTCTTCCAAAGGTCCTGAGTTCAATTCCTAGCAACCACATGGTGGCTTACAACCACCTATATGGAGCTCTGTTGCCCTCTTCTGGCCTGCAGGCAGGATATTGTATTTAAAAAAAAAGGTGTCTTGATTAGATATATTCAGATTAAATAGTCAGCTGAGCTACAAGATTCCAGTTGAGATTTTATTTTGTAAGAAGTGATTTAACCACCAGTTTCATGGGTGAGCAAGCCAGAAGCCAGGACCACACATTACCCGGTAAAGCTGCAGAGAAGACTTGAGACCCGTCAGAGTGGAACTGGGTGGAGCACTGAGGTCAGCAACATCTGTGACATTATACAACCAGCAGATGAGCTCTTCCAGCTGACAACAAAATGTCTGTGGAGATAAGAATACGTAGCTGGAGAGAGCTCAGCGAGGAAGTCTGCCTACCATGCTCAGGGCCCAGTACCACAAAGTTTATATGGTGCATCTGAGTGAGCTGCTGTTGTCCTTGTCCAAAGGCTACAAACAGCAGCATGTTAGGATACAGATGTCCTTCTAGAGTTCTCTCTCCCAGGTCATTTGTCTTCACCTCTACCCCATGACTTCAGACTTCCCCCATACTTGGCTGTGTCTCCCCTCATCCGGCAATGACACCAACACTAACAGGCTCAGAACACAGTCCTGAAGGTGAGAATGGAACTGTGGAGGAACAGCACAAGCTCAGAAGAACAAGCGTGCCAACCACTAAACTTTCTATTCAAAACAGCTGTTACATGATGACCCAACAGAAAAACTGCGTATTAGCTTCGTATCACCGAGGCACACAGAATACTGGTGCTTCATGTTACCTAATTTCTCTGTCACTTTCTTACAACCACTAAAGGAGAACAATACCTCTATTTTGGGGGTATGTGTGTTGGAGGTGCTGAGACATGCTGTTGGTGGGCTGGGGAAATAACACTTATTCCAAAAGCTTCTCCTTGCTGAGCATCTTTACCTGCACACATTGCACCAGTGACGCTTTCCCCTGCCCTGTGTTCCTGGGAAGCCTCTCTCCAGCAGCTGGCTCTGAGAATGACCACCTGTCCGACGCAGCTTGCATCGAGGGGTGAGTTTTCAGCAGTCCATAAGAGACCCCAAGGGCCTGGCTGCTCATCATATTACTTTTGTCTGAGGAGTCTTTGGGATGGATAGAGTCCACGAAGCAGGGGTTCTGGACCATAGGCCCTTGGAAGGTAGCACCAGAAGGATGCTGCCTTTGGCTGGAGTCCAATGTGGGGGAAGCTGACCCATCACTGTCTGAGACTTCCAGTGAACTGTGCTCCTCAGCAGCCCCAGGGGGTAGGTTCACAAGGGTGGGAATGGCACCTAAGTAGGACATCAGACTAGAAGCCTGAGTCAGCCTCGTGGGCAAGGCAAGGTACTCATCCTCACTTTCCATCTCCTCTTCTGATGTCCACCCAGGCTTCACATAGGCAGGATGCCCAACATTCCGGCAGGCTCTCTTCTCTCTCTCTAGTCTAGAAAAGGGCAGGCCCCTCTCCTTTGTCCTTAGCTGGGGAGAACCCACACTGAGGTTCTTGCCTATAGGTGGATAGTTCTTTGTGTCCCTTGGGGCTGCCTCTCTGTTCTCACAAGAAGTAGCCTTGGTACCTGAGGCTCTAGGGGTTGATGCAAGCTGCTTCCAAGATGCCAGGCTTATGCCATCCTGTTTCTGGGATACTCCCAAGGGCCAACACTTAAGGCATGGCTCCCTGGCTCCAGAAAATGGCAGGGCAGGCACTTCTGCTGATAAGCAATTGTGTGAGATGTTAGTGGGTGACTTGAGAGTACTTGCTGCGGAGGCAGAGAAACTGTCCAGATCTACACCTGAGTCCTGCATGACAGGGTCAGCCAGTACATGACTCTCAAGTTGCTTTGGGAGCTGAGGCCCAGGCCTCAGTGGGTAAGTGTAGTCAAGCAGATCTTCATACTCTTTATTTGGGTTCCAGAGTGGGGAATTGCGGTTAGGAGAGGGAGGTAGAGAATTTGGCAGCACACAGGCCCAGTACTCTGCCTGAAAGGAGAGCTGTCTCTTACCCAGGCTAGTAGCATTACCCCCAGGGACCCCAGGCTGTGGTGACCACAGGGACTGAGGCTCTGACCCCACCACAGAGGGGGCTCCATGGGGTACAATAAACTCCTGAGAGGAGACCTTGGCAAAGGAGCTACTGTGAGGCTCTGCCTTCTCCTGGTGATCCTGGAGACTGTTGCCCATGGAAGAGGCAGAGATGCTTCCGCTAGAGAGCTGAGGAGCACCTGGGCTCACTGTGGTCTTCCATTGTGATAGCAGAGGGAAACTTGAGACGTGAGGTTGCTGGCTGAGGCCCAGAACTTGAGGTGACTCAATCAGGGACTGGTTGTCTTCACTGTCAGCATCATGTTCTGAGCACACAGTTATAGTTCCAAGGACTTTAACCCTCTGATACAGGTCCTGGGAGGCAGGAAGTTTGTTTTCCTCCATCTACAACAAGGGGAAAAAGCAAAAGCTGAGGTGAAAATAAACAAAGTTTTTTGTTTTTTTTTTTTAAATATTTGTTTATTATATTATGTGTATAGCATTCCTTCCACGTGTGCCTGCAAGCCAGAAGGGGGCGCCAGGTCTCATTATAGATGGCTGTAAGCCACCATGTGGTTGCTGGGAATTGAACTCAGGACCTCTGGAAGAGCAGTCAGTGCTCTTAACCTCTGAGCCATCTCTCCAGCCCGCAAAGTTTTTTTTTTAAAGACCAGTTAAGGCTGAAGGAGGAGTGTGGGGGATATCAATGAAAACAAAGTAGTTCTAAGGATCCTATGGTAAAACCTATTACTTAATATACTTATCTAAGAAGACAAAACAAAGAAACAAACAAAAATGGAAAGAAAGATAGATGGATACATAGATTTGCTTGTGTGCCCAGAGGAGTATTCAGGCAAGATTTCAAGGCTGCTGCTGTTAGTGGTTAGTACCAATACTCATCCTACCCTGGGAACTCTCCGGCAACTGATCCTGAACCCATCTTTTCAGAAGTTAAGTCACTCACTTTGTGAGAGCAGAATCCAAGACAGTTTTGCATGCAGAAGCTGGAAATCAATGCCTCTCCTGATGATGGGTCCCCATCAAGTGAACAAGCCCTCCATCAATCACCACCTCTGACAGGAGATCCAGCAGGCTCCACCAGGGTGCACTCTTACCAAATGAGTCCCTGTTTCTTTACTCTGGACTTTTAATCTCAGGGAGTAACTTACCCCAGAGGAAGACAATAACTAACACAAGGACTTCAGAACCAGGCTGAACTCCTATTTGTACCACCTTCCAGAAGTACAACGAGACCTTCCCTCCCTACCCTGGGGAATGGACATAGCACCAGCACTGCCTCCCTAAGGAGGCATTGAGAAAGCACTAAGAGCCCCTCATTAGTAGCGTAAGAACAGAAACCACAACCTCTTTTAAGAAACACCCACTTCTGGGCTTGCTGATTTGCTTCTTGACCCAACAAACATGATTTACAGGTGCCAGAGCCCCCTGTTAACCCTTGCTATCAGCAGGCGCTGTTCTCTCCCAGTCATGCTCAGAGCCTTCTCACAGGACAGGGCTCCAAGGACAGAGAGACCAAGTAGCAGCCAGACACAATGCACACATCAAAGCTGTCCCTGGACCTCGGTAGATTGAACATGACGTTGCCAGAGCCAGGAGGAGCAGATCACTGATCATTCTCCTACTACAAGGACTTAAAAGATTCAGAGACTTGCCTTTGGCCTTAGAACATGGCTCTCATATAATCTCCAGTCCTGGAGACCAGAGGCACTGCTGCCCGCTAAAGGAGCTTCAGGGTTCTGACAAGTCCCAAAAGGATTTAATCTGGGAACCCCCAGCCCCCTACCAAGTCCCCTAGAAGCTTTCAGATTACCAAATCAGAAGCAGGATGAGGGTCCCTCATTAAGAGACCCCTGATCCTAGTCCTCTGGTCAGCAGGCTCCTGATGAACCTCAAACTGTCCTTAAGAAGTCCCCAATGACTCTGAACAGGAGACATAGCACAGAACCCCCTGCTGACTTCAAGGCCCAGCTCTCCAAGTGAACCTGTGAAACAGGATCCCACAACTCCCACCTTGCAGTGGTGGGCAGGAAGTAACTGTCAAGAAAATGCGGTGCACACCCAAAGGATACCCTGGCTCAGTTCCAGCTTCAACTCCTCAGTACTTACATGGCTTCCCGCAGAGTGAAGGTCTCCAGTCCCCATGCTGGCAGAAGGAAGTGGGTCTCTGAGGGTAGGTTTAGACCTATCTGCTACTGGTTCTCCGCTGGCAACGTGGGCCTGTGACAAGAAAACTCCAGAGATGCAGTCAGGGCCAGCCTCAGCCCTCCACAGTGGCCCTCTCTCAACTTCCAGATGCAGGGGTTGCTGTGGCTTGAGTCCTGGGGGCAGCAGCTCCTGTTCCCCAGAGTTCCACCTGCCACAGGATGGGACCTTCGTGTTGACAGATGCGTCTGTCTCTGCCACATCTTCACCTAGAGCCATTGAGTCTTCCCTAAATTGGGTTTCCCTTGAAGCCTTCAGAAACCTACAAAGCAAGGGAAGCAGAGAGAAAAATAATTTCCTTCATGTGTCCTGAAAAAACCTTGACTTTAAGTAAAGACAGACTTACTTAAGTAAGGAACAGTGACCACTTCCTTGAGGGAGTATCAAGGTCTGGACTTTCCTCAGCCCAGATCCTTTCACACAGATGCCTCAGTAGAGTTGGGAAAGGTGTGACCAAACCAAAGGCTTGTACAGGTTACTGCAGAAGGTCAAAAACAAGGCAACAGAAGACAAAAAAGTATTGTAAGCCGGCTGACCTGGGTGGATGGCACACCTTCCTTGCCTGAAAGCTGACGGGAGAGGAGGCTTACATGGGAGAAGGGGGAGTGCAGATCAGCGGGCGCCTTCTCCCAGGTGGAGGTTTGTGATTAGAGACACATCTCATCCTAACTGCCTGCTCAGGAGATACTTGGTTCTGCAAATCTCAGCACAGGTCAGTATTTCCTAGGGCCATTCTTTTCACTGACTAGGTTCCCATGTGCTGTTCTGGACATTACACAGGGACAGACCAGAGGGAAGGGTGGCTTCACAAACCCCTCTTGTGATTACCAAGCTCACCCAGGTGAAATGAGATGGGCTTGAGCACAAGGCCTTGCTTCAGTGTGCAGCACAGATGTAACTTCAGAGACAGGACGTGGGCCCTCCATATGTCGCCTCTTTACTCAACCTCACTGGGGTGTCCAGCTGGTCTTTGCCATGCACACCCTCCCCTCAAGTGGTTCTCTTATATTAATGGCTTGTCAGTCAGCAACTTGAGTCTTGTCCCTTCTACCCTGGAGGAGACCAGGTACACCTGGGTTTCCACTGTGCTCAGGAAAATGCTTCTAACTATTCTTGGTGGGAGGAGACTGTGGGAATAGGAACCACACCCAGACTGTGGACTAGGTGAGGCTTTTGATCCAATAATGACGAATGACCAGAAACAGATCAGCACCCCTTCTCAGGCTGTCTTGGTATAAGCTGATCCTGGCAGCCTCAGGAAGCCATGGAAAGCCGGGTAATAACAAGTTCATGAGAGAAAGAAGGAGAGCACCCCAGGCAGAGTCATGGTGAGGGGGCAGCTGGGGAAAGAAAGGGAAGAAGCAGCTGCATCTACAGAAGACCTAAGACGACAAGCTGGCATCAGCAGGCTTGGGCACTGGTGGGATGATGGGCAGAAGTCTGACCTGAAAGGACATGGAAGTGGGGACAAGTGGACAGGGAGTCATCTGCGGAGCACCAGGACCAACCTCAAGACTCAAACCTGGACAGGAACAGCCTTATTTCTCCCAAAGACTAGAGGCAAAGTGTGGAAAAGGAAGTTGTGGTGGCAGCATAGGAAGCTGCCAAGTGGGGTAGAGTGGCTGCATCAGGCTCGTCCTGCTTGGTTTCAATACCAGGAAATGCAACCCAGGTGGAATATGACATTTCTACTCCTCCCTAACCCAGCACATGGGGCTCCGGGCCATTCTGAGGTGACTTGAGAGAAAAGCATGGACTGTAAACGCAATCAGCTCACTCTTCTAAACACCAGCTCCTTCACAGGTTTATCGGGCTCTGACCTGTTTTCCTTTTCTGGTAGAAACAGCACCTAACCTTTCATATAGCAAGGAAAGTATCGCCTGGCGATGGTTGCGCACACCTTTAATCCCAGCATTTAGGAGGCAGAGGCAGAGGCAGATCGATCTCTGTGAGTTCGAGGTCAGCCTGGTATAGAGAGTTCCAGGACAGGCTCCAAAGCTACACAGAGAAACCCTGACCAAAAAACAAAACGAACAAACAAAAAACAAGCCAAGTATTTACCACTGAAAAGTCCTACAAACACAGGCAAGCAGTGCTGTTAGTTTTCGTGTATGACTCCTATCACACGATACATATACAAACACAAATATCCCCACACATACGCCTTTGTTATGAAAGTGCTGAACAGGGCAGCTGCTGGTATATCCTGGATCAAAGAACAGTCCTCCTGTTAGAGAAATCCATTCTCTTTAACCACGATGGGCACACGAGGCAGTGAAAAGGGAAGACCTGCCTCAGCAGTCAGATCCACTAAATCAGCTCTGACTATTAATGGGGTGACAGGTAAAGCCAGATTGCCTCATAGCCCAGCCCTAGAATCTTGTGCACGCTATGGAGTCAGGTTCAGAGCTGTGTGACTCCAGACCCAAGCTCTTGATGAATCAAACAAGGATCAAGGGAGAAAACAAACCAGAAGGCACCCAGAGCAGCTGTGGGTGGAGAATAGGGAGCAGAGTGCTCAAGTTCAGATGAGGATTTTCATGGAACCACATCCTCCCCTTGTGGCTCTTTGAAAAATCGCACATATCATTATTTTTGTGTACGTGCATGTGTATCTGTGTGTGTGTGTGTGCACACAAGTGTGGGCCCACAGAAGTCAGAAGACATCAGCTCTCCTGGAGTTGGAGTTAAAGGCTGTTTGACAAGGGTTCTGGGGATAGAACTTAGGTCCTCTGAAGATCAGCAAGTTCTAACTGCTGAATCATCTCTCCAGCCCCCGCATCAGTTTTGGTAACTACAGCTGACCCTATCAGCTGGAGAACCTACTTATCACTTCTGACTGTTACTTCTTCCTCCATTTCTAGAACCTCTCAAGGGTCACAGCTCCATTATGCCCCTAACAAGAATGGTGTTAAGACTTGGTCCTGCAGTGAAATAAAGCTGAGTAAGGCAATAATCAAATATCTTTAAAAAAAAAAGTATTTCTGCATGTATGGATGTGTGCAGATGCATATGCCATGCCATACATGGAGGTCAGAGGACAATTTGTCACAGTCTGGTCTCACCTTCTGCCATGTGGGCTTCCAGGGATCAAACTCAGGCTATCAGACTTGGCAAGACAACAAATGCCTTTCTTTACCGGATGAGCCATCTCAGTGGCCCCACTTTGTTTCAATGACAAGTTTTTAAAATTTCTGTCTTGCCTGGAAGTCATTATTCACAAAGGGTTTCAAACTTGCTCTAGGGAGGGCAGCATGGAGAGCTATGAGAGCTCTCAAAGGCTGCTGAGGAGACTGCAAGAGGCGGAATCCTAAGGTAGGTTATCCAGCTGTGGGGTCTGATTGAGAATGGCCCTCACAGAGGGATCTGAATGCTTGCCTCCTAGCTGGTGTAACCATTTGGGAAGGATTAGGAGGTGTGGCCTTGGTAAGGAGGAAGAATGTCACTGGATACCTCCAGTATCCATGCCAAGTCCAGCCTCACTCTTTTCCTGCCTCCAATTTCTGGTTCAGATGTAAGCTCTCAGCTACTGCTCCAGTGCCATGTTTGCCTGCCTGCTACATGATTCCCACTATGATAGTCACGGATGCACCTTCTGGAACAGTAAGCCATTAATTAAATGCGTTCTTTTATAAGCTGCCTTGGTCATAGTGTCTCTTCATAGCAATTTAACAGGAACTAAGACAGCATGTAAAGTCTGACATTCGGAGCAGAGTTCAAGCCCAAACCACATGGTGGGAAGAAAGGAACAACTGTAAACTGTCCTCTGGCCTCCACGCACCACCATGACATGTGAGCGCCCACACCCACGTCAGCAGTGCTGTCTCATCTTCAAGAGAACCCAAGTTCTATTCCCAGTACCCATGTCAAGCAGCTCACAACTACCTGCAACTCCAATTCCAGATCTGATTTCTTCTGGCCTCTATGGGTCCATACATGTACATGAGCATGCTCTCACATGCAGACACATATACATACATACAAATAATAATATGTGCAGTTTTTCAAAGAGCCACAAGGGGAGGATGTGGCTCCATGGAAATCCTCATCTGAACTTGAGCACTCTGCACGCCATTCTCCACCAGCAGCTGCTCTGGGTGCCTTCTAGTTTGTTTTCTCCCTTGATCCTTGTTTGAGTCATCAAGCGCTTGGGTCTGGAGTCACACAGCTCTGAACCTGACTCCACAGCGTGCACAAGATTCTAGGGTTAGGATGTGAGAGTGATCTGGCTGCAGAAAATTAATGTTTAAGTTTTTCTTTTTAAAAAGGCCTGATGTTCAAGATTTTCACCGAAACAGCACTTTATAGGTGTTTACTGTCCCAGTTTGCACACTCAAATTCTTTACAACCTCATTTATTAGTCTGCCTGATAAACCATGCTCTCTCCTGCCTTAGTCACTTGTCTTGTTGCTGGGACAAAATGTCAAAAGCGGCCTAGGAGGTTGGGTTTATTTTGGCTCAGAGTGCGGTCTGTCCCAGTGGGGCAGCTGTGCAGGAGAAACCTGGGCTGCTGTTAGACTGCACCCGCAGCAGGGAGCAGAAAGGAGGAGCAACAGCATTCCAGTTCCCTTCCTGCTCATCCATCTGGGACCTAGCCATAGTTAAGGGGGCACCCCACCTCAATTAGCCTTATCTAATAATCCTAATAATCCGTATAGGCACACCCAGAAGACTGTTTTCTACATGATTCCATAACCTGTCAGGTTGACAACAGTAACCATCCTAACTCACAAACACACTTAACTGTTCACAGCCATCTCATTATGCAAAATACATTCAGTCCAACACACAATTCCAACAGTTTTTAACCGTGCACCTGCTAGGGCCAGAGGGATGGCTCTGGGCTGAAGAGCACTGACTGCCCTCTTTGTTGTTTTTGTTTGTTTGTTATTTGTTTTCAAGATTGGGTTTCTCTGTAGCTTTGGAGCCTATCCTGGAACTTGCTCTGTAGACCAGGATGGCCTCGAACTCACAGAGATCTGCCTGCCTCTGCCTCCCGAGTGCTGGGATTAAAGGCGTGCACCACTTCTCTTAAAGAGGACCCAGGTTTGATTCCCAGCATCTACATGATGGCTCACAATCATCTTTAACTCCAGTCCCAGGGATCTGATTATCTTTTCTGGCCTCCATAGGTATCATGCATGCATGTGGTATACAGACATACATGAAGGCAAAACATTCGTGTGTGTGTGTGTGTGTGTGTGTATAACTGTTGATTCTCTTCTGAAACTCAGCAAATCACCTGTGAGCTCCTGTACAACTAAAACCGACATTCTATACTTCCAGTATACATAGATAATATACATTCCCATTCCCAAAGGAAAGAATTGGGGGGACAGCAAAGAATACGATCAAACAAAGACCAAATACAGCAGGGCAAACACCAACTCTTGCAGCTAGCTTCATGGGAGCTGGCATCTGGAGCCCAATATGGAATACTTTGGGTTCCAAAGGCTTGAGTAGCCCTGCCCCCCCCAG